GAAAGTAGGAAGGGTACTTTCGTCATTGCAATTGTTTATTTTTTATTTGAAAAAAATATCAGTGTCAAGATTTGAACCCGAGTCTCTTCTAACAAGGACAAGAGTCATAACCAATAAGACTAAACAAATTTGTTGCATTTATTTATAAAAAGAACATACAAGAGGGAAAATTCTGAAAATCAAATGACTTTTCCAGCACAGTTAGCTACCCCACTAAGTATTTCTTAAGCATTTTTAGTGTTGGATCTTTGATTATCATTTTTTAGAATTATTTTATTTTGACTTCAATAATAATGGTAGTCTATCTTATAAATGGAGGATAATCTTAAAACCGCAATCCAAATATCATTTATTCGAATATTGCATATCAAATGACAATATTAAATATATATGTGCACACACAACCACATATATATGGGTCAGACTGGTGTACTCCTGGAGTATACTATACTTCAGGTACTCTTCGTGAGATATCTCTATCTAGACCATGATTTTTAACCGAGTTTGGGGTATGATACTCTACCCTAACCTCTAATGGATAAACCCCAAGCCCCGATTCTCTAAACTCAAACCCAAAGTTCAATTTAATGGAAAATTATAATTGACCATTGAGATTGATTGGAGCTCAACAAAGTACATCTAATGTCTAGATCATGTGGAGTATACTATACTCTTGGAGTATACCAGTATACTATACTCATGGAGTATACCAGTATGTGTGTGTGTAGTGTTTTCTATCATATTTTGAGTAAAATCAAAAGGTAACTCATACCCTTGGTAAGAAATGGCAATCTAGACTTTGAATTAACCTGATTTCGAGACGAGACACTATATTCTAACCCTTGACGAGTGAACTCTAGGTCTTAACTATTTAAATCATAGACCCTAAACCAAGGATTATAAAACCTCATCAGAGGTTGTACAGATAAAGTCGGCAGGAGGGTATTTTATGCGAAAACTGTGGTTAACCGTGATTCAGTCGTTTCACAACACTACATAGTGCCTACTGGTTTAGTCGAACCCCCGGTATGTTAAGGGTTTTCAATCCTTGCCCTAAACACTAAGATTATGCACATAATTTTTTGGATGTATTTTGATGAAACACGACCTTCGATTATTGTTTCTAATAAAATTGATCTTAGTATATGAGCTTCATAGAATTAAGACCTAGATTTTAATCTGTAAGGGCTTAAGGTATAGTACCATGTCCCTAGCTCCGGTCACTAGACATCATTTTCACACTCAGAGTATATCATTCAAGGTCTATATATCATTTCCTTATGTCATTTTCTTACTCAAAATATGATAGAACCACCCATACTTATAGACTATAGTTGTGTTATCCTGCCGGAAAGTCATTTGTTCTAAATGTTAGTTGGTTGGACTGCAGTTTTATCAGGGTTGTATGTTGTTTGAAACATTTTGAACTTCATTAGTCAAATATTTTTTGTACTCCTATATTATTTAGGGATAATATCCTATTTTGTGCTGAACTTTGACGTAAATAACAATTTTGGCATGAACATTCAAATAAGATAGTTTTGTCCGAATTTGAAAGAAATTAACAAAGTTGACCCGAAATTTGGGTCGGTTATTAATATTGAGGGTCAAACATTTCTTTTTTCTATGACTCAACATACAGTGTTAAGGTGACTGTGGTGTGACTTTCACGTCATAGGTATAATATGCTATTTTGCCCTACACTTTCAAATAAGACAGTTTTGTGCGAATTTTCAAAGAAATGGATAACTTTGACCCAAAATTTAGGTTGCCGTTAATATTGATGGGAGGGGTACAAAGAGAGATAGTTTCGTGCTTTGGGATTTTTGGGGGCATGAATCAATTTCTTTTTCCTTTTAATATGATTTATGCAAGTAAATATGAAAATATTAGGATATACTAAGGGTCCTATTTTGTGGTCTTTTTTTCTTTTGAAAAATCACTTTTTTAGACTTTATAAATAAATGACTTGGAAGTCACATCGCAACCGAAACCTCTCTATCACGACCGTCAATATTAAAGGTCAACCCAAATTTCGGACCAAGTTTGTTCATTTCTTTCAAAGTGCAAACAAACCTATCTAATTTGAAAATTCGAGCCAAAATTGTCTTTTACATCAAGTTCATGCCAAAATAAGGTATTATCCCTATGACATGGAAGCCACATCGCAATTGCAACCACCTGAGCATTGTATGTTGAATGGATGAATAAATTTTTAACTTTTAATATTAACGAACAACATAAATTTCAGTCCAAATTTGTCCATTTCTTTCAAATTTTTGAAAACTGTCTTATTTGCAAGTTCATGTCAAGGTTGGCTTTTACGACAAACTTCAAGGCCAAAATAAGGTATATCCCTATTATTTATGGTCAACTTACCAATCAAAGTAGTCAGTGAAAGTATCAGCACACTGACGAAGACAAACATATATAATTCAAAATTAGTTGCACTCAGCCTTAAGTTTGAAGCTCTCTTGAGAAACCCGACTATTTTCTAGGCATCTTCGGGGACTACGGACTAACATGCTTCCAAACTAGCTAATCCTTATTCTACTTTCTATGAAGAGGAATAATATGGGTGTATCTGTTAGACATTAATTAGGGTTACAAATGATCTCATTCCTACAATCTGTTACAAATGATCTCATTCCTGAGGGTTCATTATGTATGTTTTAGGAAAAACAACTCTAATCTTGAACTATTTGCCATTTTTAAGTATTGAAAACCTATTATTTGTATGTTTTTCTTTTCTTCTTTGAACAATTATATTTCTTTTTTCAGTGATAAGTCGTATCTTCTTATTATATTGTAAGCATGTTATATGAACATAGTTTTTGTCTAGACTTTCCCGGCCAAGGGGCCGGACCCGGTGCTAGTATTCATTAACTAACAATCAAGCCTCGCTTCCATATCAACTCATCTCTCTCTTTCTTGCTTTATGCGAATCACTAGATTTCCCACCTAATAACAGCTAAGGGACCAAGAGTAACATTTCAATCCTAAAGCTTAAGTAAGCTAAACATCCATAATCATTCCAAAAATTATCATGTATATGGGAAATAGTACTCTTGCAACATGTGCTCCATAAAGCAATCACATTAAATTAGATGTTGCATTAGTCAAAATCACGCTTTAAAAGTTGGATGTTTACTCGTTTATGTTTCTAAGTTACCAAAATTTTCACTGTAGAATCACACTTTTTCTATCCATTAGTCAAAATCGCGCTTTGAAACTTACTGTTCGACTCTTGTAAGTCACCAAAACACATATACATAGAAAAAACAGGAAAAAATCCAAAAGTACCACTTTGTGCTCCAAACTCCGAATGTTATGAACTTTTTTTTGATTCCGCATAACTTTTCAAGATCTACAACTTTTAATATAATCATAATTTCAAAATGTACATGGATTTCTGAAAAGTAAAGGTAAAGTTATTCTCAAGGTCCCGTATATCCACAAATAGTTCCTGTTTTGAAAATTTCATCCTAGTAAAAGTTGTAGATCTTGAAAAGTTATGCGAAATGAAAAAAAAATTCACTACGATCGGATACCCGAGTGCAAAGTTACGTTCGTTTGAAGTTTCGACCGAACTTTTGGACCGAACCGCTGGTTGGGGTGGCGGTTTTGGGCCAACCGCCACCCCACCCAGCGGTTTTGGTCCATTTTTTTTTATAACCGCCCCCTAGGCCCGCGGTTTGGTCCAAAACCGCGCCCCCGACAAGCGGTTTTCGACCAAACCGCTGGGTGGGGTGGCAGTTTTTAAAAAGGGTGGTATTTTTGGAATTTTTTGGGGTTGGGTGGTATTTTTGGAGATTTTTTTTTAAACAGTGGTACTTTTGGATTTTTTCCGAAAAAACAGCACTTTTGACTGTATTAGTTGCAGTAAGAACTATACCCTCCCATATTCATTAACAATCAAACCTCTCTCTTGCTTGCTTCATGGGAATCACTAAATTTTCCACCTAATCTATAGTAAGCCCCCCTATCTCCAAAGAGTGAGTTGGTTCATCCACCCTCCTCACCTAAATAAATGTACCCGTGGGTGGGGAAATGTGAGAATGTTTTTACCACTACTTGTGTATATATAGGGAAGAAGTAATGTTTTTACCACTACTTGTGTATATATAGGGAAGAAGTAAGGTCATACCTTCAGATCCCGTGAAACACAAGACCAAAGATGGTGGTGGAGGTGGGCAAGATCAAATGAGTCCCCATGCTGGACGCGCCCGCACATAAATATTTTGAAATGATCCAAACTTACAACGGTCTACAAGTACAGTGTACGAGGAGGAAGAGTGAGTTAAACTAAAAACAATCTCGTGAAAATAAAATATTCATTGTTTTATCATCAATGCCCTAAAGAATTGGCAAACGCAAAATGAAAGAGTCAGGGTCCTGCTGTAAGGAAGCATTAAACGGCGTTAACTTAACAAAGGTGACGCGCACGTAGCCGTTGGAGATGTGGGCCCACCAGCACAGAACGGTGTATGCGCGTTCTTGTTCTTAAACTAACCCCCACCCCACCGGCCACTAGTCTCCCTACCCAGCTGTGCTTACCGCGGCAAATGAGCCGAGCCGAGCCGAGCCGAGCCCAGTCGAGTCGAATTTTATCTCAATTTGACGAGTCGAGTCGAGTTTGAATTAACTCGCTTAATAAAATCTTGACTCGTATTTGATATATTCTATGCCATACATGATACATGTGATTAATATCAATATTAAAATAATAATAAGGTGAATTAACTCGCTTAATAAAATCTTGACTCGTATTTGATATATTCTAACCGGTTGGAATGGTTGAGTTTGTAAATTACTGGGTGACTCTGGTTTGATAATTCAATTAATAAATCATAAATAAATAAAAAAGTGAAAAAAAACAGAAAACAGCACAACCGTTCCCTTCCTCTCCTTTGTCCTTCCTTTGTAAACCAAGTCAAGACTTCCGTCGAGCAATCCACCACCTCGGTATTGTCGTCGATCGACCTCACCACCAAAATCACCACCGTCGTCACGCCCGTATCCGCCTTCTGGTCATCACCGCCCCTCGTTTCTGCCGCGACACCCTCGAAATCGCCATCGTCATCAAGGCTCTCCCTCCCCCGATTCAATTTCCACCACCTCGCTATTGTCGTCGATCGGCCTCACCACCAAAATCACCACCGTCGTCAGGCCCGTATCCGCCTTCTGGTCATCGCCGCTCTTCGTTTCTGCCGCGAAACCCTCGAAATCGCAAAAATATAATTGATCCACCTCAAAATACCTAGTATACCATTCATAATCTGCAAAATGATTGAATAATAAACCATTCTCCATGCTCAATGATGGATAATTTAACTCACTGATGATGGTGGTTGCATGGTTCAGTACTTCAGTTCATAGCTAGTCTTTTTGCATCACCACAGCTCTCTCGTTCTATTTCTACAGATGAAACAATAACCGCCATGGCTTTGCCTTTTGCCTCTCTAGCTATCTAAACAATTCCCCCACCTGCTGTTGATCCTTACCAAGTCCCCCACCCAACACCACCCATTACCAACTTCTTCAACCCACTAAACAATACTACCAGAGAAGCAAAATAAAGAACCAGGCAACTTTTGCCTCCCCGCATCATCATCGAAACCACTAGCTTTACAAGTATGAACCTGATAATGTGGTAAATGAACATGAGAACAGAGAACTATTTGTAGTTTTTGTTGAAATGGACGGGTAATATGGGTACCCATAATACCCGAATGGGTATTAACGGGTAACCCGTGGGGTACCCATTGTACAATTTCTTGATCCAAATCCCATCCCGTAAAAAAAATTACGGGTATTCGGTTACCCGTAACCCTAAAAAAATGGGACGGGTACGGGTATACCCAAATATCCGTTTCCCGTTGCCCACCCCTATGGACAAGAAGTGCCAATGAGAGGTATACTGTGCAATCTGGATACTTCTGGAACTTCAAAGGCAGGCCGACCAATATAATATGAATCAGCAGGAGAGGGATAATGATGGAGTGAATTGGAAGATTATCTGGAACTCAATCTTATGCATACAGATCAAGCCGGGTTCAAACACCAATAACATTAATCATCCGAATTCACACATTCAGTTAACTCAAAATAGAGGAGTAATCAGAGAGACAATGCTGAAGAAGCAATAAGAATAGAACAAACCCGAACTTGATTTCAATTTCAGCTACGAAGAAGTGCAGCAATGAGCATGATGTCGGCCCAAGCGTAGCTATACAGAGGGATTCCAGAGAAAACAGTAGCCAAAGTAGAATTCTTTCCGGTGGATTTTTGGAGAATACGACGTTGCGGTGCCAGATTATAGGAGTTGATTCATCAGATTGAGGCGAAGAACATGACCTTTATGACTGAAATGGCCAATTCTAATAGCGGCGTTGACGTGCAGATTACCGTCGGCGATCAAGAGAGCCCTGCGGCAATCAAGAGAGCCCGCCGATAGAAGAATTGACGTGCAGATTACCGTCGGCAATCAAGAGAGCCCGCCGGCAATCAAGAGAGTCCGCCGATAACTCCCCGTTCGTTTTCCTGGTAGAACTGTTTGTAGCAGGGTTTTTTTTTTCACAGGATTTTCTTGGAAAGACAAGCGTCGAATAATAAATTAATATTTTTTATGACAAATATACGCACCGTTTTGGTCCTGATCAGTAATAAACGTATAATAATTACATAAATGAATTAAATATAACTAGGTTCAACCAGAGGTTCAACCTAATCTGATTAAATGATGATTTATTATGGACGGTCCTCATTTAATAGCTTCAATCCAGCGGCGGAAAGAGTGGCGGCACTCATGCAGTGCCTGCACACAGAAAGCGCCTAATAATAATAATAATAATAATAATAATAATAATAATAATAATAATAATAATAATAATAAAAGTTAAGTGTTCAATATTAACTAATCTCATTTTATACTTTGTGATATCAATATTTAGTTAATAATCTTTTTTTATAACCCAGGAATCTCAACCCCACATGCCACTTTGTGACAGCGTGATCTACTAAACCTGGGGAGCACCTGTACAAGACACAACATCGGGAGATTTCGTCCCCGGCACTCAGGCATGCCTCCCTGAACACACAAACGGCGCCGCTGGGGGATCGAACTCGGGACCTCTCACATCCTGAGCCAACCATACCCATTTAACTAATGAAATTATGTTATTCATAGTATCGAAGCAATCTATGATATATAATTTATTTTTAAAATTAAATAAGACATATTTGGTCACATAATCTACATGTTAAACTTCATATAGGGTGAGATATATAATTTAACAATCCTATAAATTATCAAAATCAAACTCATATAGATCAATTCGCTCATAAATCGGTAATCGAGTTGGCTCTCTAGCCACAATGTTGAGAGTTGAGACATCTTATGAGCACTAAACGAGTCAACTCACAAGTTGAGCTCGACAAGCCACCGAATCGAGCTAGCTCGCGAGCTCCGCGAGCTGCAGAATGCTAAGCTCAAACTCGGCTCATTAATAAACAAGTCGAGTTTCGAACGAACTTTTCTCGAGTCGAATGTCAAGCCGCTCGCGAGCAACTCGACTCATTTGCAGCTCTAGATGTGGTATCTTTTCTCCTTCCTTTTCCCCTTTCACATAAAATATACCCATGTTTTAACATTTGCTCTTTAAACCATGGCGATAGGAATTACTCATTTATATACAATTTTTAATAAACTCAATTAAATTCAATGATCATAAATACGATATGACTGAAGTATATATCCATTGGAATTTTTATAGTTTATTTTAAATGGATATGAGCTGTGTATAAATGTCATTTTCTTAAGAATGCATCTCCACATTATCCACCGAAAACAGATGTTATGAATTCATTTGATAGTGTAAATTAGGGATTCTGAATTATATGTTGTGATGAATGTTATGGGTTCTCTGCTCAATTTGTTGGATGGATAAGGACCTGCTTGGAGAGTGCTTCATTTTTGGTTAATTTCAACGAAAAGGTTTTCGGTTTCGATTTTCAAAGGGGTGGTTTAAGGTTTTCGGCTACATTGGGTTTTGTTTGTACCCTCTAGCTCGAGGTATGAACAATGATATTTGTTGGTGTGGGGTTAGACTCACGATCGGTTCGTTTGATCTCATCAGGAGGGAAGAAATATGTGAAAGAGCCGGGGATGCCCCCCGGACTAAGTTCCGACGAATCAAGTTAGTTTCTGTTTAGCATGAGAGTTGAGAGAACAACATAGAGAGATAAATTGTAGATAGATAGTGGAAAGTGGAAAGTGAGGAGAGAGAAGAAGTCCCCTCCCTTGGAGGGTTTCATAACTTTATATACTCGTAGCGGATTTCGAGCGTCATACGTTATCGATTGGACGCGCTATTACTTAGTATGTGCACGGAGTATCTTAGTAACACCCTCAACAATTTTCCCCCAAGCTGGTGGTGAGTTTTAACTCATCGCTAGCTTTTTGTTTTTTTAAAAAAAATCATAATCGATAATTTTGGATGGAGCCCTATGTACCCCAGTTGCCCCCCAGCTAGTGGGGCGTTTGGCTGCCGCGGTGCCAACTTCCTGCGTCATGCCCCCTAGTTGGTGTATTTCATTAAGCCGTTGAGCACTCTTCTATTGGAATCTCCAAGGCGCTGAGCAATTGCTTGTTGAAAATTTTCCAAGGTATTGAGCACTCTCCTATTGTAGTTTTTCACGTACACACAAGTGTGCCCTCTTTCATTGGTGCGCTTGTGATAGCCGCACGATTACGTTACGGAGTTACCGCGCACGTTTAGTGCCCTTTATTGAAGATAGAGATAGTTGAACACTATCATATTGTAGATTTACTAATGCTCTTATCGAAGTCTTATTTGTGTGCTTTCAGTCGAGTCTTACATGAATGGAGGTAGTCGAGCGCTCCCATATTTGTAGATTTCCCAATGCTCTTATCGAAGTCTTATTTGTGTGCTTCAGTCGAGTCTTACATGAATGTAGGTAGTCGAACGCTCCCATATTTGTAGATTCCCCAATGCTCTTATCGAAGTCTTATTTGTGTGCTTCAGTCGAGTCTTACATGAATGTAGGTAGTCGAGCGCTCCCATATTTGTAGATTCACCAATGCTCTTATCGAAGTCTTATTTGTGTGCTTCATTCGAGTCTTACATGAATGGACATAGTCGAGCGCTCCCATATTTTTAGATTCACCAAGGCGTTGTGCGCTCTCCTCGTCGGGGTTTATGTACCCTCAGTTTGGAGTATTCAAGGCGTCGAGCGCTTGGTGAGGGCATGGCATTGACTAGTCCAGGCACGAGCCCTGATTATTGCTCTCACCCATTGTAGATACTTCATGGAGTCTTCAAGGCGTCGAGCGCTTGGTCAGGGCATGACATTGACTAGTCGAGGCAAGAGTCGTGATTATTAGCCCTCGCCCATTGTAGATTCTTCATGGCGTTTACTAGTAGAGGCGCGGGCCGTGATCATATGTCACTTGATTGAGTTTCTCATCTCCCATGTAATTTGAGGGTCGTTTGGATGAGGAATTGTAACGGATCAATTTGACACAATTGTCTCATTTTGAGACAATTGTACCAAATTGCCTCGTTTGCCAGCAAAAAACTTGGATGGATCAATCTGCCTGAGGTATTTTGAATTGATCCGTTTTGAGTCAATTTCAATTACCTGGGGTGGGGGCAGGTAATTCGAATTGACTCATTTTAATTGCCTCGTTTATAAAACGAGATAATTGATCAAATCGACTCATTTCTAGATTGATCCATCCAAATTGGTATGTCTTTGCCCCCAAAAGGGTTCATGAGAATCCAATATTTAAAATCAAAGTAAAAGTTTTAGAGAGATAGAGTACTTAACTTTATGTTGGCGAAGCGGCGGGAAGAGTATTAAAATAAGAACGTTGCGCCTATGAATCACAATGTGGGTAAGTAGTCTGCTGGTCAGATTGCTTGTCCGATTATGGAGTGACTGGGTTCAATTTCTGGCGGCGACAAAATTATTTTTGACGTGAAGTGGAGAAAGGATGGACCGCGAGTTGGGCTGCCTGCAGCGCGCGCCGTGAGTTTGGCATTGCGGATGGAACTTGGTGGGCGGCCAAACTGGGCAGGTCGCGGTGGGCCTGAGCGGGCTCTGTGTGAGGCGGCACGCGGAAGGAGGAGCGGGACAGTTAAGCGGGCGGGCTTATGTGGAGCGGGCTGGAGAGGCGGATCAGAAGAGAGGACTTGGGCCGCGAGTGGGATATAGCAGGGTTGGGCGGTAGAGTGACGCGGAGGAGCATGAAGCGGACCAGCGAGTGGTGGGTTCATCTTCCGTGAGTGGGCTTGGGAGCGGGTCGAGTTGTTGGCGGGTGCATGATGGGTTTCGCATGCGAGTTGTAGACAGGTGGGCTTTGTGTGGCGCGAGTGAAATGAAATATTGGCTTGGGTTTGGATAGAGGCTGCTGATCCCTGTTGGCCGAGCTTGGCGGCGATTATTGTCTTCTATGGCCCGACTGGAAGACTGAAGGCGAGCTCACGTGACACGGGCTTGGTATAGGAAGGTGCGACGCGGGCCACGAGACTGGGGTGTAGAGTGAAGCGGACTTAAGTAAGGCCGGCCGGATGATGTGTACGACGTTAGCACGCTAATAGAAGGCGGGCTTCTGTGACTGACAGGCCCAACTAACACTGTGTGAGACGAGGATAAAGGTGAGTCGGAACCATAAGATGCTCGACGCACCTGGACGTTGAAGGCGGGCCGAGAGTTCAAGTTGGACAGAACAAAGCTAATTTATGTCGAAGAGTGTAGCATACGGGTCTGTGTGCTTTCATTATGTAGAGATGGCGCGGTTTCGAATCCGTGCGTGAGCATTGCATTTTTTATTATTTGTTGAAGCTCTTTAGGCGTGGTGGCCCATAAATGAAGAGGGTCGCGAGTTGATGATTGGCCCACTTGACTAGTTGGTGAACGGACTACTGGGAATGAGCTGCAAGAATGAAGGTGGCCCATGTGGAGTGCACCGCCTGTCAAAAGTGGTGCGGGTTCTGTTTTAAATTGGAACATTAGATGTTTGTGGCGGAGTAAACTCTTCATAACAGTGCGTCGCACTTTGAGACATGAACGTGATGCTGCAGTCCCCTGGTCAGCGCTCCAATCTTTTGTTCCTTGAATGAACACGGGTTCGAATCTTGGCGAAGGCAATCTTTTTCGAGTTGCTTCACAAGATAGCAGGGCCTGGTGGAGGTAAGCACGTGGGCCGCGAGCTAGCGATGCGAAGGCTTATGGAGGCCAGATTGGATGCCCCCGAAGTCTCGAGGCAGCTCAATTGAGCGCGGGCTGGATGGATGTTGGCCCAATTGGCGGTACGGGAGCGGGTTTCAGTGACCCGAGCATTGACTGCGAGTTGGTGTGTGGGGCAGACCTCGTGAGACGCAGTTTGTGGCGCGAGCCATGTAGAGCAGCAGAATTAAAGCACACTTTCCAACCTGGCATGCACTTACGTAGAATTTTGTCTCGATTTTCGTGCCTTTCTTTTTCTGACATAGGGAGAAAGTAGTTGTAACCCCCTTTTTTGTGGTAAGAAGTCATAACGATGTGACAATTCGCTATGATGGGGACTGCGGTGCTTCTTTTCCCCATTGGAGCTCCGACGCCAAATTTGTCTCCTGCGGTCATTTCTTTTTTCTTTTCTTCTTCTTGTTCTTCAGCTGTTGTTGAACTTTTTTTTTTTTGCTTGTTGTTGCCGTCGGTAGGTGGGGAAGAAGGCCGATTTCCCTCTCCCTAGTGCCCGACCTGTGTTCGCCTGAGTTACTTGCCGCCGCTGCTCGTAGTAGTGACGGGAGCCGATCTTCCTCCCACCGTTTCTCTGTTTCCCGGTGGGTTCTTCCCTGATAGCTTTCTTTTGGTTTTCTTCGCTTCTTAAGCATACTCGAAAATCACAGAGTTGTTAGGGACAAAGTTCCCGATCTGCTTCTTCTGCTGGGTATTGCTCCTTTCTCTTCTCTTTTTTAGTGCGAATCCTTTTCACAAATTTCTTCCTCCTCCCGAAATCAGACAGCATGATCTTCTCGTCTTAGCCCCACGGTGGGCCCCAATTGTTTGTACCCTATAGCTCGAGGTATGAACAATTATATTTGTTGGTGTGGGGTTAGACTCACAATCCGTTCGTCTGATCTCGTCGGGAGGGAAGAAAAAGAGCCGGGGATGCTCCCCGGATTAAACTCCGACGAATCAAGTTAGTTTCTGTTTAGCATGAGAGTTGAGAGAACAAGGTAGAGAGATAAAGTGTAGAAAGATAGTGGAAAGTGAGGAGAGAGAAGAAGTCCCCTCCCTTGGAGGGTTTCATTCCTTTATATACTCGTAGCGGGTTTCGAGCGTCATACGTTATCGATTGGACGCGCTATTACTTAGTCTGTGCGCGGAGTGTCTTCGTAACACCCCCAACAGGTTTCGGTTCAATTACCCAAACTCGGCCCAAGATGACACCCTATCAAATTCCAATAACTAGAGTTTTTGGAAGAAATTCAATTATTGATCTGTTTACTAATCCTAGAGTCCCAGAGCCACTTGGTTTTTTGTCTAATAGCCAAGTCCAAGTGGGTAAGAAAGAAAGAGAGAAGAGCCAGGATCCAAAATCTCATCTTTCTCTCTCTCTCTCTTTGTCCTAGATCCCGGATCTTGTGCTGGTTCTACGTTGCTGGAATTTAACAACCGAACTCGTGACAAGTTTTAGGTTTGATAAATTCATCAATCCAGTACAGATAGACGAGAAAAAATGGCAAAAATTACCAGCACACCACATATCAGGCGCAATATGACACAGTGGAAGCTGGAAAATACGCATTTTGTGGAGCCCAAGAAAGCAAAACAATGACAACAATAAAAATGGCGAAATAATAATTTGGTGCACGCTTAGAGGCACTCTGACAAGGACTGCATAACGACAATAATCGACTTCCCTCTCACTTGTTTCAGGGTATTTTTTAAAACAAGAATCTAAAAATCTGTACGAATGGCACATCGCAAGTAGCTAAAACATCAGAGCATGTTCTTGCCTTACGCATTCAATGGTGGGAGTGGTCTGCAACGGCCCCAACTTCCTGCCAGCGCTGCTGCTATCATATCGCCATTTTTTCTGTTCCCTTTTCACTCTGTATATCAAAACAAATCAATTTCAGTCATTCCAGACAGCAGATGAGGGGAAAAGGGTTTGCATCGCCGAAACAAGAAAGGGAGCAGCATCTATGACTTTAAGAAAGCATTTGGGCTTCGACTAAGACGTATCTATGCTGTCCATGCATATTGCAATGAACGGTGGACTACTAGACTTCAATGCAAATATTGTGATGTGTCGTGTGGCCATGTGAGAGAGATCATGAAGCATCTATCATTGTCAATCATTACCTAACTCAAGGAGGTTGACATGTACGCACTTGCAATATCATAACTCAGGTTGGGAATGTAAATTGTACAGGAAAACACAATCTGAAAGCGAAGGTAGTAGAAGGTTCAGTTCTAGGATCATGGTAGATGAACAATTTAAAACAAGAGAAATGTGAAGCTGCTTAAGTCATAAAGAGAGAGATATGATAGATTATTAAGGTTGTAAGAATGAGTTTAAGGGCTGCAGGATTTCGCGAAAACAGTTCCAAGGCCAGAAGCTTGTTGTTTGAATAGGACCTTTACCCTATTAAGTCTCCATCTACGAAGCTGGCCTAAAATTAGTCGGAAAGCAAGTTCCTATGTGACTAAATGGTCATAGTTTACACATACAAGCCTTGATACTTTCAGTAACCAGCAAGACATAGAGTTAATCTAGGTTATTATTAAGAACAGAAACAATGCACTTACAGCTGAACACATAACAGGAGAGCCCTATTCCAGAAAATGGATCTTACCACTTTTTCTATTGTTCTTCATAGTATGGAGGCGTGGATGACGTTGGGAAAATGTATTAGCATTAGCTTGTTGTGTATCTGAAAGCAGCCAGGAAAAACTGTTTTGAGTTAATAAGACAGCTAAAGTTTTGAACTCGCTACTCCAAGCAAACCTGGTTTTATTCTTACCTTGTGCTTCTTCGGGAAGAATCCTCTCTCTGTTATGGTACCTGAAGATGAAGTAGAGCAACAAGAGTTAGAAACATGGAAAGATGGACTAATGTACCTGGATGCAGCTAACTGTAACATCACTATGATAAGCTGACCAAGTTGATCAAGCCCAGTCAAGCCACTGTGTGAAAATTTTGCAAACATTTGATTCTGAGCTAGATCGTGTATTTTGAAGGAGAAATATTTAAGCCCTTGTCCAGTGCTTCGAATTATAAGTAGCAAATATAAACCAAGTTCTACGTGTGCTTTCTGCAGTAATTTATTTTATTTCAGTTCAGATCTTTGTCCAACTGCCCCAGCATTGGAAAGACTAACTACTGCATCTTTACTAGTTGAAATAAACAGATAAATTGTGACACTACCTCGAAGCAGCAGGAACTCCTGCATGTAAATTTTCTGATATATGAAGTGTGCCAAGCCTCTGAATTTGCCTGGTCTGTGGCATTTAAATTTACGTCTTCTGCAGCACTACCACTTCTTGCTGCACTACCTGTATCAAGTCAAAGCACTCAATCTTGGATACATTGCTGAATGTCATCATCACTGGAACTGAGTAATTTACCTGAAAGATTAGACCAAATTTTGGTGTTATCAGATGGATGCTCAGAAGCTGTTGCTCTATGACTACTCTCTGGTTGTGCTTGAGGCTCCTTGTGGATTACAGCTTGAGCTGGTATAGAGGCGGCCTATTGTGGTTCCTCAGAGGCATTTTCATCACGAAGCTGCGATATGAGCATGGTTGCAAGAACAAGTGTTGCGTCGAAGTTTGAACCAGATGAATCAGAAAGACCAATTTTTGGTGCCATTAAAATGGGCCTGTTGAACACATTTTCATAGTTAGATATACTAATAATACATATATAGGTAAAGAAGCATTATGCAATCTTGACTTTGACATTGCACATGATGAATGAGACAATGACGCGAAAAACAATCTAAGAATTTTGTTCTACGCACTACTGATAATTGCAAAAAAAAAAAAAAAATACAGCAGTAATCAGACTTGTCTTGGTCTTCTATAACAGAACCCTTCATCAGTTTTTCTTTCTATTACTCTCCCTGGCAACTAATTGTCCTTGGTCAAATTGAAATGAACCTTTAGGTATACTGTGCTAGAAAGCCAACAAATTTAATACATGTTGGACATAGTCGATGCACTGCTCTGCTGACATTGACCCAAATATAGGAAGTTATTTCATCAGCTAGTAGTTCTTTATGACAATTTTACCTGTAATCAGAATAACCTTAACCAATTACAAAGATAAAAGATGGGTTGAAATGGATGTTGAACAGGGTAAGTCAGAAGATGAGTTGCAGTGAAAGTAGATAAACTGACTCAGAAAATGCAGTCAGATAGCAATATGTGGCTATGTGGGATGAGGGAGAAACAAAACACTTACTCTCCAGCCTTTTCAAAATATAAATGTATATCGACTTCACAGCTCTCACAAAATGAAACAAATGCCTGCAAGTCCCAAAAATTGATTATTTATCAGTCTTTATTTGAGACAAAACAGAGAAGCTGGTGCACTACTGATCCCAAACAACAGACGCATGAGATCAAGATCTTGCAAAATGCATGAATATGACAAACAATGCCTGCTCAGGATACTAGCTTATCCCACCTTCAGTTCCTTCACTCCGAATGTAATATCAACAGGGTCTCCAACATGATTGTAGAGGACAAATTCTTCTGCAGGATCAATCCATAATTGAGTGTGCAGTGAAGAGTCATTGTCTACAGTAAACAGAACTGCAGTCAGCTATGCTCCATTCAAGTAATTAATAAACTCATAAGAAACTAGTAACCTTTTGTTGGATTGATATTTCTGAGTTCAACAGCTTTCCCTCCTATTTCACTAGCAGCATCAGCAGGAGAAGAAGTAATTTCTGTTGCAATGATCGTTATCTCTTGAAGTGATGACTGAAAATTTGCTAGCAGTCTGTTTAGATCGTGCGGCCTGACTATAAAGTTGCTTGGAAATCCATTCCTATCAAGAGTCAGATGTTGTATGTCGGGCTCGATATTGCAAGTAATTGAACAGGCCTTTCTCATACCTGCACAATATCAACTATGAATATGGTTGACACCTTCAAGGAGCCTAGTCAATGAAATATTCCAACAGAAAACGTAGCACATAGCGAGCACATGAGAGCTAGTCTGATTTTCAGAAGCCAAATCTCACACGCGAAAACAACATGTCTAACTATTGTTGCTGGTGCATAATGAAACCGTCAGTGATTGCATCCACTTCTAGAAACCAGCAAGTGAAGGAATCATTCCAAATTGCAGGAACACGAGCAGAGACATAGTAGAAAACGTTCCAGGAAAGAGCAGAAGCCATCAAATACGATACTCTTTGATAAGGACATTTTTACCGTTATTGCATTCCAAGGTCCATTGCACTTTGGAGGCGTCAGGATCGGGCAATTGAACTCTTAGATGATCAATGCTTTGAATAGGTGTCCTAAGGATGGCAGAAACGGCCTGAATTTGTGGAATAACAAGAATCAGCGCCTTTCAAGCACTGATACAGATCCTTCATCCTTTCTCTGGAACCAAACAACAATGAATTTACTACCAATACCTTGACAAGCACGCTGAATTTGACCTGGGCGCCGAATATCGTGTAAACATTGAAGAAGTCCGGCTTGAACGTAATAGACTGATAAGCAGATCTCGACGAGTTGAGAGTGTGAAATTCCAGCTGAAAAAACGTAAACGCAAACCAGTAATCAGCGAGAAGGAAAGCAAACATCGAACGAAGAGTAAACTCCAAACGCAAACTCTCGCTCGGTTTATCGGCAACCAAACTGTGAAATCTCAATAATGGAAGGAGAATGGATGAAAACCCGCAAGGGTTTTGGGTGCCTCAAGGGCTTGTATATATACCTCAATCAACAACTCTGTACATTCTCTAATTACTGTTTTAACGGTAACAAACGAAAAATCAAATCTATAACTAATAAGAGAACGACAGCTGGCTATCTACATTATAAATGGAATCAGCGGTTGCTTAATGCAACGACGTCGACCCAGCTCCTCAACTACTTCTGGGGAAAACGACTCCGTTTCACAAGCTCAAAGCAACCACCTCTGTTCGACTTCATCTTCTTCATTCTTCAATCTCCAATCTCCAGTTCCACTCATCGTGATAGCCTCCCTCAAGCTGACGCATACAGATTATGTATGTTCAGCTTGGACATCAGGAACTGGAGTCGAAACCTGCTAAGTCCTTTTGTGAATAAATCAGCAATCTGATTTTCTGTATCCAGATGACTTAGAATGATAAGCTTAGATTGAAGAAATTGTCGAACCACATGACAATCAATCTCTATATGTTTTGTTCTGTCATGATAAACAGGATTTTCTGCAATATAAATTGCAGAACGATTGTCACAAAAGACCTGGACAGGTTGTGGATGTTCAATGCCCAATTCCTGCACCAGCCTTTTTACCCAAACAACTTCACACGTGAGCTGAGCAAGAGCTCTGTACTCAGCCTTAGAGGATGACCTCGAAACAGTTCCCTGTTTCTTTGACTTCCAAACAATCAAAGAGTTGCCAAATGTAATGCAATATCCCGTTGTGGATCGTCTTGTATCTGGGCATGATGCCCAATCAGAATCACAAAAACCTTGCAAAAGAAGACTTGACTGTGATGGATACAGTAAACCTTGTCCTGGTTCATTCTTCAAATACTTAAGAACTCTGTATGCTAGTTGGAGGTGAGAAGTGGTAGGAGCAGCTTGAAACTGACAAAGCTGCTGTACTGCAAAAGTGATTTCAGGTCGAGTGATTGTTAAATAGTGGAGTCTCCCAACTATCTTCCTGTACAAGGCAGGATCTTCAAGTAATGGTCCATCATCAGCCTTTAAATAAGTCTTCATGTCAATTGGAGTGACCACTGGCTTACTTTCTGCAAAACCAGTGTCTTTCAAGAGATCAATGCAATACTTTCGCTGACATATGTGTAATCCCCCCTTTGATCTGGCAATCTCTAAGCCAAGAAAATAATGAAGATTGCCCAGATCACGGATTTTGAACTGAGAATGGAGGAAATCTTTCAGAGCTGCCATGCCATGATCATCATTGCCAGCAATTATGATGTCATCGACATAAACCAATAAGGGAGAGGTGCCTTGATCACTGTGATGGAGGAAGAGAGAGTAGTCACTGTGAGACTGTACATACCAAAAACTGAGTAAGGCTGAGGTTAATTTAGAAAACCATTGACGAGAGGCTTGTTTTAAACCATACAAGGACCTGTGTGTGAGAAACCATACAAGGTTTCTCACACACAGGTCGACAAACATGACCTGTGTGTGAGAAACCAGGTGGTAAGTCCATGTACACCTCTTCTTCTAAGTCCCCATGTAGGAATGCATTACTAACATCAAGCTGATACATGGACCAGTTCTTGGCAGAAGCAATAGCTAACAGTGTTTTAACTGTGTTTAATTTAGCAACTGGGGAATATGTATCAAGAAAATCAACCCCATATATCTGAGTAAAGCCCTTGGCTACAAGCCTAGCTTTGTATCTTTCCACTGAACCATCAGGATTGTACTTGATGGTGAATACCCATCTGCAGCCAATAGGTTTCTTTCCAGTAGGGCATTGAACCACATCCCAAGTGCCATTAGCTACTAGAGCTCTGATTTCTTCATACATGGCCTTTCTCCATCTCTCATCCTGCATAGCCTCTTCAAATGATTGAGGCAACAAAGTAGAATCCACAGCACATACATACTTCCTATATTCCTTAGATAAATTATCATAGGAAAGACAAGCAACCAATGGATATGAACGTTTGTCAGTGTCAGATTTAAGATTCAGGACATAATCTTGGTATTTAATGGGAGGTCCAACATGTCTTGTCTGTTTGCGCAGGGCAATAGAAAGGGAAGGAGGAGTAGGAGAGGACAAGGGTAGTGGTGAATGAGGTAAGACAGGTGAAGGGGAAGAAACACCAGAAGCAGGAGATGTGTGAGGTTGTAAAGGGGACACAGGTTCTGGTACTGGTGTAGGTTCTGTGTCCTGAGGCACAACTGGAGGACTTGGTTCCATAGGAGGAATGGGGGGAAAATGTTGTAAAGGATGAGAAGAAGAAGGTTGTTCCTCTGCAGAAGAAGTGAATGGGAGAGGAAGACAAGGAATAATGTGTTCATGGAAAATCACATGTCTAGAAAAGAGGACCTTTTGATTTGTTAAATCATAAAGTCTATAACCCTTAATACCAGGAGGATATCCTAAGAAAACACAGGGTTTTGCTCGAGGGGAAAACTTGGTTCTGTTATGTTCAAGGGTACTAGCATAACAGAGGCAACCAAAAACCTTTAGATCAGACAAATCAGGTGGAGAGTCATACAACAGCTCATAGGGTGTCTTGTTCTTGAGAGCTACTGTAGGCAATCTGTTAATAAGGTAGACTGCATGAAGAACACAGTCTGACCAGAATTTTAAAGGGAGTCCAGATTGAAACTTAAGGGCTCTAGCCACATTTAAAATGTGTTTATGTTTCCTTTCAACTCTAGAGTTTTGTTGTGGAGTTTCAACACATGACATCTGATGAACAATGCCATGTTGGGAATAAAAATCTGGCATATGGAATTCAGCTCCCTGGTCTGACCTAATGGTTTTGACTTGTTTGTTATACTGTGTTTGGACAAGCACACAGAAGCTTTGTAACAAATTTCTGGCTTCACTCTTATGCTTCATGAGATAAACCCAAACACATCTAGAATGATCATCAACAAGAGTAAGAAAGAACTGATAACCATTGTAACTAGTTGTGGCCAAAGGACCCCAAAATCAACATGAACAAGCTCAAAATTGTACTTTGCCACAGACTGGCTTGAAGAAAAAGGTAAATGCTTCTGTTTGGAAAGATGACAAACATTACAATGAGAAAAGGATTCTATAGTGATGTTTGGTATAGTCTTCTGTAACTCTTTGGTTCGAAAAATGGAAGGATGGCCAAGTCTCCAGTGCCATAAATCAAAAGTCTGCTGTGTAAGGTTCTGTGTCTTGATGGAATTAACAAGGGTAGTATTGGCTTCTGGTTGTGTGATAAGTTGATAAAGTCCCCTAGTCTCTTGGGCAAAACCAATCCTCTTCCTGGTTTGAAGGTCCTGAATGTGACAAATGTTGGAGGCAAAGGTAAGAGAGATTGGCATTGACTTAGTGAGCTTACTAACAGAGACTAGGTTAAAAGAAAAGGCTGGAACCAATAGAACATCATGGATGACCAAATCAGAAGTGAGTTTAACACTACCAGAATGTGTAGCTGGAGTTTTAGAGCCATTAGGTAAGGTGATTAGTATGTCCTGAACTGGTTTATAGGTAACAAAACTATGGATAGAACAAGTGACATGGTCAGTGGCACTTGTATCTAAAAACCAAACACTGACAAATTCCATTGGATGCTTGAGGAAGGATGCAGTTAAAGTGTATTTACCTGCAAATTGTGGATTAACAGAGAGATGTCTGCTCAGGGAGTTCACCATAGGTGATTGCTGTTGAGAAGTAGTATTCAGTTGAGGTCCTCCTGCTGCATTAGGTGAGGTTGGAGAAGCTGGTGGGTTGTACTGACAGAGAAGTCTCTGCAAACGGCTGAGATCATCATTGGTAAGCCTGATGTTAGTGTATCCATCATTCCCCTCAGCAATACTCTTAGACTCAGGCTTTGGCAAAATCCCAGATCCAGTAGAATCCAGCCCTTGTAACTATCCAGCAAAACCAGGAGTTCCTCTAGTAGATCCACTCGACTCTTTGTTCTTCCTTTTCAGTATATAGCAATCAGCAATCACATGATTGTCCTTCTTACAGTATCGACAGAACAACCCTCCCTGTGCATTATCTTTCCCCTTTGCTTGGTTTGCAGCAAGCAAAGCCACAAAATCCACTTGAGACTCAGGATTTGGCTTACCAATCTGTCGTTCATGCTGTATAGCATAGTGAAAAGCAACTTCCATAAAAGGTAATGGTTGCATCATGAACAAATTGGTACGAACGACACCATAAGCATCATTCAATCCAGTGATAAATCGAGTAACAAACTCATTTTCCCTATACTTTTTGACTGTGACCTCAGTAACACAGGGAATAGCTAGGTTTCGTGCTTGACCACCACACTCACAGTTAGGTATTGGAAGGAATTGAATAAGCTCTTCCCAGAAACCCTTCAGCTCAGAGTAAAATTGGTTAACAGACTTGTTACCTTGCTTTAGGGTATAAAGAGCTGTCTGTAAATCAGTGATTCGGATGTTGTCTGCTTGCCCAAAACGCTGCCTGAGATCTTCCCAAAGCAGCCTTGCATTGTCCTGTGAAGAAACGCTATCAACCAAGCTTGGATCCAGGGAACCCAGAATCATGAAATACACGGCTGTGTTGCTTTGTTCCCAAGCTGCATATCCTTCAGAAGTCGGATCTGGAGCGGAAATAGACCCATTGATAAAACCCAGCTTGTTCTTGCTCTTGAGAGAAACACGAACCGTTCTGCTCCATAGATTGTAGTTCGCCGTCCCTGTAAGCTTGATTGGGAACACCATAGACTCATTTGGGTTGATATAATAGGGATTGGTAACGGTACCCACTGTGGAAATGGGACCAGAGGTAGTAGAGGTAGAAGAAGAATCAGTAGCCATTGCAACAGAATGCTACCTAGAAACAAGAATGCGGGAATGGAGCTGGTACAGAAACCCTAGAGGCCGTAACCAGGCTCTGATACCATGTGAAATCTCAATAATGGAAGGAGAATGGATGAAAACCCGCAAGGGTTTTGGGTGCCTCAAGGGCTTGTATATATACCTCAATCAACAACTCTGTACATTCTCTAATTACTGTTTTAACGGAAACAAACGAAAAATCAAATCTATAACTAATAAGAGAACGACAGCTGGCTATCTACAGTATAAATGGAATCAGCGGTTGCTTAATGCAACGACGTCGCCTTGACCCTGCTCCTCAACTGCTTCTGGGGAAAACGACTCCGTTTCACAAGCTCAAAGCAACCACCTCTGTTCGACTTCATCTTCTTCATTCTTCAATCTCCAATCTCCAGTTCCACTCATCGTGATACAAACAAATCCAGAAGCGGAATCGTTCGACTCCAATCAATCATTTCTTCACCCCACTTACTCGTGAATGGAAACAGAGCTCCGCCAGCGAGAGCAGCGAAAATTTTCATTAGAGCTCGAAATTGAGAAGGTAGCTTGGAAGAGAGCTTTACCTGAGAAGAAGCAGATTGAACGGCGAGCTCGTTGCCGGTACGAGCTAGACATGTGATGCACCGAGCAAATGTCTTCAAACCGTTCCCGCTGAGACTGAACTCCATTGCTCCGTCGCCCGGTCACCGTATCTCCCCGCCAATCTCAGAGCCGCCGCGGAGAAATTGCTGGGCGGGAAGGAGAAGGGAAAGCGCGCTAGTTGCTCCATTTCCTTCCTCCCCACGCTTGTTTAATTTCGTTTGTTTAATTTCTCGGTTTTCCAGTTCGAATTCAGGGGCAATCTCATATCTTCTGGGCCGGGCTGAAAGCCTGGACTAGCTTTATGGTCAAAGTATAGAAAAAGCCCAAATAGTAAGGCGCATTCATCATTCAAACTCAAAAGTCAAAACCCTACCGCAACTTCTTCTGTCCGTCTGCTGTGAATCCTGAATCGTTTCGGTATCGGGAATTCAATCTCGTCGTTCTGATTTCTTTTTTTTATTTTTGGGTCCGAGACGGCCATATTTAGCTGAAAAAAGCAGAGAAGAAGCTAGTCTCGGAAATAAAATAAAAAATAAAGGGCTTAATTGCAAGTTTGGTCACTCGAATTGCTACAAAATTTCACGTTTGCCACTCAAATTAATTTATTCCATTTATAGTCACTTAAATTAGGTTAACAGTCCAAGTTTGGTCACTGGCCGTTAGTCTCCGTTAACTTTTGCTGATGTGGCGGTCAACTCTTATAGTTGACCGTTAAATGAGTGACGTGGCAATTAAAAAATTAATAAAATAATTTAAATTAAATATTTTTATTTTCCACCTAATTATTATAAAAATAAAAATAAATTACTATTGACTAGAAAGAAAAATTGACGATGACTAGGCTCGCCGGTTTCTGAAACAGAGCCGACGCCTCCGCCGTGCCTGGGTGGGAGAGACCAGACCAATCGCTCTTCTTCTTCCTTTTAGGAACCTCCGACAACCTAATCGTTTCCTGCAGCTGCGACAACCCAATCGATTCCCCAGACGTCGTTCTTCCTCCGCCGTTTGCCATCGATGTTCGAGCCAGAACATCGTGAAAGCAGAGTGAGGGACCCAAATTGGAATCCAAATTCAAATTCTACTTTCCGCAGGACCTCCATGCCATTCTCCGCGAGGGCATCCCTTTTGGCCCCAATTTCCCCAACTGACGATCTTCCTCCCTCCAGCACCTCCAAATACTACGCGACCTCTCTGCCCTCGATATGGCCCATAAAGCCTTTTGGGCTCGGCTCTCTTTCCTTCCCAGGCATCCCAACAAATTCAATTCTCAGGAAAGGAAGATCAAAACCCCTTTGCATCATCTCTCTCCCAAATCCTAAAACCCTAGAATTTGGATATTGATGCTCGACAAAGGGAGAAGTGAACCTCATTCATTCCCTCCTCAAATTCGACCGTGCAAGTACCCCCATCATCGTCGTTGCAGATTCGCGGCGGCCGCTCGCCCGTCGTCCTCACTTGAGAATTTTTCGACTCACAGCGCCCCTCGACTAAAGCCCTGCGAATCATCATCTCATTGAGGTACGAGTTCGACAAAAATTGGAATGCCCATTGGAGAATCGCTGAAAGCCAGGACCTTTTCTGAATTCTGATTGCCCCCCCTGCTCTTCAGTTTCGATTGAACTCTCAGCTAAGTAGTCTTGTTATATTCCCTTAAAAGTTTGTGATTAGAGATTCCCCTGTTTCGATAACTGTTGTGAAATGATCATCGGCGCCGAGCTAAATTTAGGTACACTATAGGTTTTGGTTTGAATCTGGCTGTCTGAATTCCTTGTTGGTTTGGTTGATCAGTGTCAGGATTCGTATGTGTCATTGAACCATGACGGTGTTGAAGAGATACGTGCTAAGGCTGTTCATATCGCTGAGAGGTCGAGGGCAGAGAGGTCGAGGGCAGAGAGGTCTAGGTCCTTGGAAGAACATTTTCATCCATATACACTTGGTCACTTTTTAATCTTTCAAACTGGGAGCTTTTATATTGAATCGGTGATCATGAAATGCTGGGTGAAGTGCGAAACTGTGGTTGGTAGGTATAGAATTTGTATTCCACTGAAACATTATATTATTTTTACATGTAATATGTCACTGTTCTTGGCCCTGATTATTACCGGTGAAACACTGATTGAACTTCTGACCATGAATATCTTTTTCCGGACTGGTTTCTTTTTCTGCTCAGACAACATTGATGAAAAGCCTTTCCCTTTCAGACTGGTGACTTGTCTCATTGCTCCTGCATTGCAATAGCCAGTGAACCAGTGTTCAAGCCGGGTGTCTTTCCCTTTGCTCTTGCCCACCAGCAGCAGATTTGGGAGATTTGATGTTACTCGCTGTGAATTAGATCACGTTTTCTGCTCCTTCCGCAAATATATGTATGTTTAGGTGCAGTAACCTCTCCTCCCCCCCTTTCTTTTCGATCGGTCTTCTTTCAATATATTTGTATCCGACACTTTTTGGTGATTGGCTGATGACTAATGATGTTCCTTTGTTTTGGTGCACAGATTGGTGCCAGCCTGCAATGCAAGGCATATTCAACAGTCATTTAAAACTTGTAGCCAGCTTTTCTCGGTACCTCCAAGTTCTTTGCCACCATACCGATTTGAATATGGGAACAGTGGGATTGACCTCGATGGTTTATTCAAATCCTGCACCAAACTCGAACATGCTAAGTGCATTCACACACTTATGCTGGTATCGGGAAAAGCTCAAAGCAGCTTTCTTTATGGGAAACTCATTAATTTTTATGCACAGCTTGGTCCCATCTCATTTGTGGAAGACATTTTCAAAAAGAGCCCAAGATCGGACGTCTATTTGTGGAATACTATGGTATCTGCTTTTGTTCGACGTGGTCACTTCCATAAAGCGGTAGACTGTTTCCACCAGCTTCTACTGACCTCTGGTGTGCGACCTGATTTCTATACCTTCCCTCCAGTGCTGAAAGCCTGCAGAAATCTATTTGATGGAATGAAGGTTCATTGCTCCATCTTGAAGCTTGGCTTTGAGTGGGATGTCTTTGTGGCTGCTTCCTTAATACACTTGTATTCAAGGTTTGGGGTTGTGGAAGGTGCTTGCAGATTGTTTCACAATATGCCATACAGAGATAGTGGTTCATGGAATGCCATGATTTCTGGATATTGCCTGAATGGAAATGCAGCAAATGCATTGGAACTTGCAGATGCCATGAGATTAGAGGGGGAGAAGATGGATGCTATTACCGTCGCTAGTACTCTTCCTGCATGTGTACAGATGAATGATGTTGTAGGAGGGAAGTTGATGCATTTGTATGCCGTCAAGCATGGCTTGGAGCTCAATTTGTTTGTCTCCAATGCATTAATCGACATGTATGGAAAATTTGGCAGGTTAGGTGATGCAAGGAGAGTTTTTGAGCAGATGGTTATCAAAGATATTGTCTCATGGAATTCTATAATTGCTGCATATGAACAACATGGTGAACCCATCGATGCTCGTTTACTATTTGACAATATGCAACAATTGGGAATCCAACCTGATGCATTTACACTTGTTAGTTTGGCTTCTATTGTTTCTCAATTGAGTGATCACAGGAGTGGCAGGTCCCTACATGGATTTTTACTCAGGAAGGGATATTTTTCCGATGCTGTTATTACTGGAAATGCAGTGGTGGACATGTATGCCAAAATGGGTACAACAGAATACGCAAGAGCTGTCTTTGAAGGACTCCCTATTAAAGACGTGGTTACGTGGAACAGTTTAATTACTGGTTATGCTCAGAATGGTTTAGCAAACGAAGCAAGCAATATATTCCATATGATGGAAGAGTCGAAAGATATATCCCCAAGCCAAGGTACATGGGTTAGCATATTACCTGCTTACTCACAGCTAGGTGCCTTGGGGCAGGGGATGCTAATTCATGCTCGGGTTATAAAAGACTCCATGTGGTCAGATATTTATGTTGGAACATGCCTTGTTGATCTGTATGGAAAGTGTGGTAGATTGGATGATGCTGTGTCTTTATTTTATGAAGTGCCTAGGCAAAGCTCTGTTCCTTGGAATGCCATAATATCTTGTCACGGAGTTCATGGACATGGCGAGAGAGCTCTTGAATTCTTTCGAGAAATGCTTGATGGAGAAGTGAAGCCAGATCACGTGACATTTGTTTCTCTACTGTCAGCTTGTAGTCATTCAGGTATGGTAAGCGATGGGGAGTGGTGCTTCTGTTTGATGCAGGAAAAATTTGGAATTAAGCCTATTTTGAAGCATTACGGTTGCATGGTAGATTTGTATGGCAGAGCTGGTCTCTTGGACGTGGCGTTCGAGTTTATTAAAAGCATGCCAATGAAGCCTGATGGTTCCATCTGGGGTGCTTTGATCAGTGCTTGCAGGATTCATAGGAATGTTGAGCTGGGTATATATGCTTCGGATCGCTTGTTCGAAGTCGACTCGGAAAATGTTGGGTACTATGTTCTACTGTCGAATATGTATGCGAACGCTGGGAAATGGGAAGGAGTTAATGATGTGAGGTCTTTGGCTAGAGGAATGGGGTTGAAGAAGACTCCCGGATGGAGCTCGATTGAAGTAGACAAGAAGGTCAATGTGTTCTACACAGGGAACCAGACTCATCCACAGTGTAATGAAATATACAAGGAGCTGAAGGAATTGTGTGAGAAAATAAAGGCCAAGGGTTATGTTCCCGACTTTGGTTTCGTGTTGCAGGATGTCGAGGATGATGAGAAGGAGCATATCCTCATGAGTCATAGTGAGAGGTTGGCGATTGCATATGGAATAATCAGCACTCCACCCAAAAGCTCCCTTAGGATCTTCAAAAACTTGCGAGTCTGTGGAGATTGCCATAGTGCGATTAAGTGTATATCCGATATCACAGGTAGGGAAATTGTTGTCAGGGATTCCAACCGTTTCCATCATTTCAAGGATGGAAGTTGTTCCTGTGGGGATTACTGGTGATGCAGACATTACTGTGTAGCATAACATTTAGCTTGTGAACCTTTTCGTCCATTATGCAATCCGTTGCATGAACGTTAACTGAATTGGGGGAGAGATTTGGGGCGTTTTATTTGTTAGTAACTCAAGTATGCCAACTGCTGTTACACTGGCCAGTTCACCACTTTTGCTCTGTGTGGCTTCGTCTGTGCTTAGGTAATCTGGCTCTTCATTAATGCTTTGATGCTTCCTTGTTTGTGTGCTAGACTGCTAGGTAGTACTGTGAACTGTTCTTAGCTTCTTAGATAATCCATTATGCAATATGATGTTGGTAGAGTTACTGATAGGGTGAGCATCGGTCTGGTCGAACCGTGCCAAGTAGCACTAAACCATCTTTGAAAATTCACAATATAAAAAGCAGCAAAAGAACGTAACATTGTGTTAAATATATGGATTTGATGAATATATGCTGAAATTGGGTCAAAACAATTTCATACCGCTAAAAATCACCTAACAATTTAGATTCAGATAGGAGACTATCCTGATTGGACCACCGGTATGATGGATTTTACAAGCACAAATTTCTTTACCCTTTTGATTCACTTGTATGCATGTGACATGATGTATGTTTAGGAGCGGTTAAGTAATACATACATCGATGTTGTTCATGATACTACTAAAACAAAGAGTATTCTTAGTTTTTTCATATTGTTAGTAGGAATGGCAACGGGGCATGAACAGGGCGGATAGTGCTAAATCCGTGCCCTGCTCTGCCCTTTAATTCCTGATATGATCTGCCCCGTGCCCCGCGACGGGTCAACATTGTTCGACCCAAACATTGCCCCGCGCGGAGCGGGTAAAATCCGATCTGCTCCATATCTATCACTCAAACCCTTCTGCTTCTCCTTCTCGCCTGTATTTAAAGGGGATCTGAAAGTTGAGAGGTTTCCATAAACTTCTCCCAGAATCACTATTCAAAACACATTGGAACAGCGAGTTTGGAATATGGAGTGTAGTGCTTGGTGAGTATGTAACTCCACCAATATTGATGCTTGTGGTGAATAAGTTAGATTGGTCATCGTGCTATTTGTTTTAGATGTAACATGTTATCTTTGTGTAAAAAATGACCTAGAGGAATGTATGGCTGAACTAGAAGAAATGAAGAAAGCTGATCAATCTGGAGATGCAAAAAGATACTACTGCTGCATTGCATGGTCAAACTCCAAGTGCTGCAAATGGAAGCTTGTCCGCGGAGAAATGTTATGTTAGAAACAAAGCATATGCTTTTTCCTGTGGTAGATGTGAAATTGCAGAGAAGTGTTGATATGAGAACAAACCTTAGAGCTTTAGCCATCTTTTGATTTTGGGGGGAGATTGTGACTTTGGTTCCAACGTTTTTCATGCAATTTATGTTTGAGGAGAGTCATTGGCTTCTCTATTAAGTCAGCCAGCCAATATGGTATATGTTTGAGGAGTATAAAAAAATACTCAACAATGCATCTGGACTGAAGCAGCTCCAAGCAGCGAATTAGTAAAGAGATTAAGAAATATAGATTACTTCCATTTCCCTGTAACAATTCCTTTGGCTGTCATTGAGTTCATGTTTTGGTGTTTAGTTAACTTTGTATCCTTTTACTTTTTGTTTCCCATTTCGTTCTCCATGTTCTGATGGAATTATGTTTTGGACAGTTTGATCTCTTTGCTGGGGAGATGATGCAGATGAAGAGGAAGAGATGGGAAACACTAGGTCATTGAATTGACTCGTGGAGTTTACTATTCTAGTTTGAAGGTTTAGTTTTGTTTAGGCATATATGTAAATTGATACAACTCGATGCGAGTGATAGTTGGCTTTCAGATGCTCTTAACTTTCGTTCTACTTGCAGCCCATCTATTCTATCCAAATGTTCCGGTAGGAATATGTACAGTAGACATATCCATCTGCTGCTCCATTTTCTTTCTCCGATGTACAGAAGGAGGAATAACATGTATTTCAGATCTAGTCTCTCATTGATGCATCTCTTCCTTTTTTTTTTTTTTTTTTATATATAATCAATGTATAAACTATCCTGTCACTGAATCTCTATGCTCAATTCAGCTGCAGGAAACCTTGAAGAGCAAGTTCAATGAATGAACGGAGCTCCATTATTTTGGGAGTAATTTTGGGAAGCCCCTATCCCCAGCACACCATTGCAAGCTGAATCGACCATGTGGGAATAGTGACTGAGACCAATTGACCATGTGGAATGAGCATGTACATAATAAATCAAGAGTCATGTTGATATGAAGCTGCAAAAGTGGATCTAGGGGATAGGAAGAGCAAAATTTTGATATGTAATTTAGCCAATGAAACGTTTGATCTTATTACATAGCTCTTACGGTAGTCATTACGCCCAACTGTACTCTTACCTTTCATTATTTTCTTTAAGATTCATTGTTGAGAATCACTCTGGTGAAGGAGGCCTACGTCTCTCACCTTCTCTGACCTGGACTCGTCTGGTATTTGACGGAGGTGCTTTTCGATGGTGACAGAGGCCCGCAAAGATACAGATTTCTTCGCCTCTTAACAAGTCACCAGAGTGATTCTTGAGATGGGATCAGCCACGAACAAGTCACCGGAGTGACTTTGGCCAGACCGCCGGAGAAGGAGATCGAGGAACTCCCTTGGTTCATCCGTCGTCCCCTGTTTTCTGAATATTCCGGAAAACAAACTAACTGCATTTTTAATTAATAAAAATATAAGACAGTGGCAAACAAAGAAGAAAAAGAATCGTTTGGGTTGGACGGAGGAATCTCCGTTAGTATGCAATGGGCGGGTTGGTTAGTACTTAGTACTCGTGGGCTTTGATCTTGGGTTAAATCAATTCAAGTGACTGCCACGTCAGCTCCACATGGCCCAATCAGATGTTGCGTTATCGGTGCCGCACTTTTTATGGCGGCACCATAGTATTAGCCGTACGTTGGCCTTTAGCAGGGCGGGGCGGGGCATTGCGGGGCAGGGCAGTTTACAATTACATATCCAAGTCCGATCTGTTCTTACCACGGGTCGGGTCGAGATCCGCCCCATTCAAGTGCGGATCGGATTTTATCCGCCCCATTGCAGGTCGGATCGGGGAATATCCACCGGAGCGGATCTGGTTTGCCATCCCTAATTGTTAGGAGTAGCCGAGACACAAAAGTCCTTGCATGTAGGGGTGTTCAAACAGTTTGGTTATCATGGTAACCGTTTTAACCGGTACTATTTGGATAATTTGGTTTGGTTAATTTGGATAATTGGTTTGGTTTGGTTAAAGTTTTTAGCTTGTTTGGTTTAGGTGGTTTGGTTTCAGACACTCCTAACCAGTCAAACCAAATTAATCAGTTAAGTAATTAGTCATATATCTAACATATATTATATACACATACTTAATACTTTGCATAACCACTCAAGAGTTAACGTTCATCCCTTTTAGACTCATAAAATATAAAGCTCAATATTGCTTATATAGTGTATATTTGTATATGTAAAATGTAGACCATAACATATGGACGCCTAATTTAGATAAATTTCATACATTATGATGGATGAAAACTTGAAAGGAAGGTCATTTCCAGCCTATGATAATTGCTAAGAGACTAAGTCAATTTACACAAACACAACAATTCATTAACCCATACCATTGTCATAAATTTTTGTTAGGTCAATACTTCTATACTAATCGTAAGATAATTGTCTTAGTTGCATGTATTTTTATTAAGGGTCAACTATAACTACGTGTTGGTCAGTGACGGACCTAAGGCTAGTAAGGGTGTGTCGTCCGACACACCCTCGCTCAAGAATTTTGCGAAGAACCTATATATTTTGGTACAAATTTTTTTATTTCGGAATAGCCGACACACCTTCAATAATTATTTCCGACACACCTTCATTATAGTCGAAGAATTTATTATCCAAATGAATCAATATTAATCATAATCCATTTTAATTTTGTTTAAAATAAATAAATCATAATCCTATCACTTCCTATTAAAAAAACAGACTCTCAACCCATACAATATATATGTGTGATGTGTGTTGTGTCTGGGCCTATAATTAAAAGAGAAGAAAAAAAACCACAGGCCAAATGGCCAATAGCCAAGGCTGGCACTCTTTATCCTTTAGTTTACTTGCTGATGAAGTTGGTGTTGATTTTACCTGTTGCAACTGCAAGCTGCGAAAGAGTATTTTCAGCTATGAAGATAATCAAGAACGATCTTCGAAATCGGTTGAGTAACCAATTTATGAATGATTGTTTAGGTGTGTATATTGAAAAAGATTTGCTTTGCAGCATAAGTGATGAATGTATTTTAGAGACATTTCAACATATGAAAAGTCTTCGCGGTTCGTTGTAAATATGACATTGTGGACTTTATGAATTAATTTCTTTTAATTTCTACTTAATTTTTTAATTTAATTTAATTATTATTGAATTTTATCGGCGACCCACCTCTCCGACAATCCTGGGTCCGCCACTGGTGTTGGTTGTTATGTTTTATTCATTATATAAATTGCGAATTGTTGCATTAACCGGAAAATTTTCATCGTCAATGATAATGTGATTTTATATTGGTTAATCTGGTTAACCAATTAACCAAACCGATTAAACTTTAGTTTGGTTAATTTGGTTGTTGTATTAGTTTGGAAGGTTTGGTTATGATATTGTATTCCATGGTTAATGAAATTTAGCCTTATTTGGTTTGGTTATAACCATGGTAATCATTTGAACACCCCTACTTGCATGCTCAAACCTCTTGAGCTCAACCAAGTGTGTCCCCAAGCGACTCCAAGAAAATTCCAAACACTATAGAATTGCTCATTCTTTTTCGACAAAATACACTTTAATAGTCACAACTTTCGCGTTTTGTGACAGTTATAGTCACAACTTTTGAAATACATGAAATAGTCAGGATTTTGATGGTTGACAACTTTTGAAATACATGAAATAGTCAGGATTTTGATGGTTGTTTGACAAATCTAGCAATTTTCGTTACAAACTTTAACGGTGTTAGAGATTTCGTCAGTTAGGTTAATGGATACCAAATTGACGCAAACGTCAGCGACAACTCATCCTCATTTGCCACGTAGATGCCACATCTACAGTATCATTTATAGTGGAAACATAAAGCTGCCACCCCTATTCAAAATTCTCTAGGTTAAGAGTGATTTTCGGATCTGACGTGGCTAGGGATGGCAACGGGTCGAGTCGGGGACGAATAGTGCATATCCGTTACCCTACCCAAAGTAGTTCGGATTTTACCCATACCAATACCCACATGAGAAACGAGTAGAAAATCCAAACCGTGCTCATAACCGTTCGGGTTTCGGGTATCCACAGTTATCCATGGGTAATAGTTTCTCTTTATAACTCCAACCAATATGTTAATATTCACATTTATTCTCACATTCCGTAAGACGAAAAGTACGACAATAATTTACTAGAATGAAGAAAATTAATTAAGACGGTGCAAGACCGTGAAGAAGGGGAGTTGACGGTGAATCGCAAGGCGTCCAAAGACAAGTTGAAGGTTACTGACGGAAGGCGAGCTCACGGTCACTAAGACGGTGAAAACAAGCAGTTGCCCGTGAACTGCCGTGATCCATGCGGAGCGTTTTGGCGCAAGGCGTGAGTTCACAGACGCGTTTGATGGTTCACGGCCGTGAACTCAGCTCTTCTCGGGTTTAAAAGCTGAGCTACAAGAAGAAGAGAGGGGGAGCCACTTTTGTGAGAGAAACACCTTCTTCTTCATTTTAGTGAGAGAAACGGAACCAAAGAGAAAAAGAGGTTAGGGCTTGGCTTCAAAGGAGGTTTTGGGAAGATTTCCCCAAGGAAATCACATATCAAGGTTGAAGAAGAGAGGAGGCATCCCCAAAAAGATGGTTTCCACCTTTTTCCCCTTTGTTCTTCCCACTTCTTTCATGGAGTAGTCCTCCTTCCACTTGGGTGTAGTGAAACCCTAAACCCTACAATGTAGTTTTCTTGTATATGGTTTGGATGATTGATATTGGGCATTGTTCAATTTAATGTTTGAGGTATTTTTCACCATGATTTTGCATGCTTGTGTTTAGCAACTTAGGGGTTGTGCATATTTTGTGCTTAGCATCCTAGGGATTGTGCATAATTGTGCTTAGCACCCCCTAAGTTTGTGCATTTAGGTGCTAATAATCTAACTTGCCAACTTAACCTAGTTTAGAGAGGAAAATCCCCCCTCTTAAGGGAGACTCAATCGAGTTGGTTTTCCTTCCGCTTCCAAGCCACCTAAACTAGGTTGAGTTAGGCCAATCCTTAATATTGAATTGAACAAGTCGATTAGTCGTGGTTACACCGTCCAACCTTAGAGTTGAGTGAGGAAGTAAGTCGATTACTGATTGTCTAAACTGAGAGGGTCGAGTGACACGACCTTTCATCCTCACCTCAGTTTAGCAATCGAGACTGTGGTCCCCGACCACATAAGCTTTCCTCTGCGGTTCACGATTAACTTGCCCAAGGCAATCGTTCCAACCCACGTAGCATGGCAGCGATTAGGGGGAAGCGAAACCCAAATGACTTTCCCACAGAAGAGTTTTCAAACCAAAGTACCTTTGTTTTCTTTCATTTCAATTGGCAAACCTTTAAACCAAAGTTTTATCGCTTGATAATGATTTCAACAACCGAAGTAGGGGTAGACGGACCGACCCGGGTTGATATATAGATACTTGCCCTATACTGCACCCGATTAGAGTTTAAAAACTTGTGCTCTAATTGGGGTTTAATTGTGGTGTAGTTTTGAGCGAGTCAAGTTTTTGGCGCCGTTGCCGGGGACAACGGTCTGTTATTCTGAAAAAGTTGTTGGTTGTTAATCTAGCTTTTAATTTCAAGTTTTGCAAGTGTGTGTTCTTTGCTTGTGTTAGACTTGGAATTTTCCGATTGTGTGGATGAGGTGTATGACCCGGAGCAACCCGGCGCCCTTGCTACCACTTGACGAGGACATAAACCGAACTCTCCGACTCCTAGCAAGGGAGAGAGAGCT